AAAAAAAAATTCTCACTACACATGGTGAGCCACAACTAATATGTATTCTGTCTCTGATTATGAGTTACAATATTGCATAAAGTGCATAATAAAAGGTGAAATAGTAATATTGTTTGCACCTGCTACTTGTCACCAGAAGAAAAATAAAATCAAATTGAAAATAATTGCTTTAGCAATGTTGATGCAACAAAAGCAACAGATTAAAAAGTTCAAATTAAGTATTAGCAACACTAATCGACCCAAATCACGTTAGCTAAATCGAGAAGAAATATGAAGACGCTAGGCATATAGAAAGCTCACCGAGCTTGACGATACAATGAAGTGGTTTGACAGGTGCGGCGGGGGCGGACGAGGCGGGGTTGAGGTGGCGCTGCTGATCCATTGGCTTTTCCGCAGTTGCCGCAGTTGAGCCGGCAAACCTTGGGGCAGAAAGACAATTGTAATTAGAATTTACAAGTGGAATTTGGATTTGATTTAATTAGAGCATTGGAACATTATCCATTTTGTATTGTATAGAATAGAAAGAAAATTAAAATAAATTGTATCTCTCATAGTTATCCCATAGTTAATGTGAATTGTGATATCATTTGTTGACGTGTAAAATTGGAATTGGTTAGGAAAGAAAAATATATTGAATAGATGATATAATATATAATAGAAGTGATTTAGAATGACTTCTACGTCTACACAGACTTCTAGACATTTTTCATACCACATAGGATTATTTCTGCTACGTGGCAACAAAATAGATTAATAAAAAGATCATTGGAGATGCTCTAAGTGCACAATTGGGTATTAATAAACTAAAAAAAGCGAAACTAATCGGTCAAGTCTACAGGGCTTTTTTTTTCTAAAAGACCCAGGTCCCATTTTCCTTTCCTCTTTCAAAAAACCCTCTTTTCAGTCTCTTCCTTATTGTCGCGGACCCGCCTCTTTGCTGTTGTCGTGGTCTAGTCTCCTCCGCAGGATGACAGGCTTTGGAGTGGGTCGCGCGACCATGGCGTTAACCCTTCCTGCTTTGGTGCTCCCCTCCTGGTGAGTTCGTCGAGCAGTTCGGGTAATCTGTCAAGGCTTCCGGCGAAGGTCGTCGCTCTCGTGATGGCCGGAGCTAGTGTTAGCAAAGGCATCTCCCATGGGACTGCCAATTCCTGAGGTTGTGTTGGGCGGTTCCGCCTCTGGTATGTTGTCTTTTTTTTTTATTGGTGTCGGTTGTGTTGGGGGAGGTGTCGGTCACCGGGTCCTGGGTTGTTGTCTGGTGGTAATCTATTTGAAAGATGGATTAGGCCTCGTTGCTTTGGGTCAAGTTAGTCTTAGCCTGTCGAGTCAAGAGTTTGGAGTTGCTAGATCTCGGTCAAGCTTCAATCTGTTTCTTGGGTTATTTTCGGTTATCGCTTCCGCTTAGGAGGTTAGGATTTTGGGGTCGGTAGTGAGGGGGAATTTAATGTATTGAATAGGTATGAGTTGTTTGCTTCTTTTAATGTTTCTCTTTGTTTTATTTTTTTTATCAGTAAGAGTAAATTTATAGATCAAAATTGTTGTTCAGACAACTGATAATCAGCATAGAAAAGCGCACGGGCAACCACAAGCTTGGCTCCTAACTCGGGAATAATAATACTACGAGGGCAACCACAGGTGGTCGCTCACTCAGGTCTCTAATCGTGACACAAATTTAAAGAAGCAGTAGCGCATCACATGCCCCCAATGTAAAGGATAAGCCTATCCAAGCCCAAGACTTTTGCTCTCAAACTCGACAAGTACATTCAGATACACCACAAATATAGTACGATAAACATGAGTTTTGATTTTACGTACCACAAGGAAATGTTTCTCTTTCTTGGTTTTCTTTGTCTATGTGCGTCTGGGTTTGGTCTCTGTTATGAAGTTATAGTCTCTATTTTGGAGTTGTTGTGTTTCCACTTTTGAGTTTTGTACTTTGCGGACAGTGTAATTCCAAGGGGTGGATCTAGCCTTTGTGTTGGTTCTTGTGGTGTCAGCTGACACCTCAGGTGTACTCATTTTCAATTTTTTAATTTTTAATATATTATCTTTTCGAGAAAAAACAGATAAGTGGTCTCATTACTATGTTCCAACTAACTATATTAGTCAGTGTTATCCATGTGAGGTATATCATAACAACTTTGCTTTCGGTTTCTGACAATACCATTTTGAATAAAGATCATGTTTTAGTCAAGTGTTAGTGTGCATAGTGAAAGCTTGATTTTAGATGTTATTCAAACTATTTATGTCGAATGAGATTTCATGTTTGATTAAACAAAGGACCATGTTCTAGTGCTTTACATTTAGATAAATGGTTCATCACGGATGGACATGAGATCATTTATCAGTTACTTGCGAAACATAAAGAAATTGTTTCACAACCAAGATGGAAAATGAACAAACAATCGGAACAATTGTAGTGTGGACAATACAGTCGGCGTTGACTGATTAGTCGCACTAATACACATTGGTGTATTGAATGGACCCCAAAGAGGAGCTGTTCATTTTATACTGATTGGCGTAAACCCACTCGGCCTCGACTAATTATTGTGTTTCCTTAATTCGTAAGATACAAATAGACACATGTATGTAGTATTTACTGCTTTGATTCAGCGAAGTGAGGCTGATTATGCATGGACCAATAACTGTCTGTTTTGGGTAGTGATTACTACATGACATGGTGCTCCGTTATAATATTTACGATCACCGTGTACTTAACATAGTTGAGGTTTGATGATGTCCCCGAAGTGAGTTTAGAAGGATTATTATGTTAAACCGTGCAGGTGGATTAAATCCCGATATAATAATAATGCATTGAACGGTGCTAGCTTTGGTTCAAGAAGTTTAGTAACTTAATTGTTAGTAATTAAATTAATTGACAGACATTATATCTTAAACATATGTAGGGTAATTCAAGTAATTTAGAAGTGGAGCTCAAATCGTAATTTGGGAATTACATTAAGAGGTTTTAATCATACTACTTTAGTGGAATGACTGTATTATTCGTTTTTGGGCTAAGAGGGCTTGACCCACAGTTAGGCCCAATTATGGGAAGCCCAATTTAATGCCTTCTTAGGATCCCTATTGAAGTCTATAAGTACACCGCCTCTCTTATGGTGCAAGACATTCCAAACACTTAAGACTTAAGAGAGATCTAGATTCTCCTTCTCACCAAAGGAGTTCTAAAGGTGTTAGGTAATTCAAAAGAAGTCCTTAAGATAATCAAGAACTCGACCCATTGGACGACGACCTGTTGCTCCTAGTGACCCGCTCTTGGCGACCGCTGCATCCCAGCACTACACGCCGAGACCTGCGACCTGCTTCCCAGCGACTCTGTGTGACCCGCTCGATGACAACACCACGCGACCAGCTCCCTGCGATCTCACGTAGTCGTGCTATGTTGTAAATATTTTTACCGGAGTAGAGTCAAAAGATTCAAACACCGGGTCGTGTCTCTCGAGGAAGGTTAGCTGGATTACTTTGTATGTTTATTCGAACACAAAAAGGAGAAATAAAAAATTCCTAAACATACTAATTCAGAGATTGGTTTGAGTTTTAATTATCAACTACTACGAAAATTCAAATAAGGCAATAGAAATAGCAAGCATCAATGACGAACAAGCAGGATTTAAAAAGCTATTTGTTGTAAATATTTTTACCGGAGTAGAATCAAAAGATTCGAACACCGGTTCGTGTCTCTCGAGGAAGGTTAGCCGGATAACTTTGTACGTTTATTCAAACACAAAAGGGGGAATAAAATCCCTAAGCATACTAATTCAGAGATTGATTTTGGTTTTAATTATCAACTACTACGAAAAATGAAATAAGGCAATATAAATAGCAAGCAACAATGACGAACAAGCAGTATTTAAGAAGCTAGGGAGTCGGGGATATCCATTTTGGTTTGAATTGCAATTATCGGGCAAGTGTGTGTTCGGTTAAGTGATTTGAATAACCTGCTCGTTCAAGTACTCATCCTCACTAACTCTTCGTAACAAGAGAACAAACTTTAACGACAAATTAACAAGTCATTTAACACCTAGGCAATACAGTTACGAACAAGCCTAGCTTATACGAGCCTATTTCAACCGACGCCTCCTCTTTCGGTTCTAAAAGTCGATTAAATTAGACTAGAAGGTGGTTAATCCACTAGCCCATTTAGAATTAATAACATCATGCACGAATTAATCGAATTCAATTGAAACAATTGGAAGTTGAAGTGTCACCCTTCAACAATTATCAAAACTCAAGAACGATGATTGAAAAACCCTTATAAAAGATCAACTCGCACAAATTGAACAATTATGAGCACGACAATCACAAACGATTCCAAAATATCAATCCTCTATCCCTAGCATATGGATTTAGCTACGCATAATTGAATCAACACAAGCAATCTCACAAATCAAGACAAACATATTCATGGATTAAAGGAATAGAAAGTTTTACGATTAAATCAAAATTGAAGGTTGAATATTATAAACAAGATTAATCCCAAAAGCAAGACAAAATCTAAGTTAAAAATCCTTGTTCTACGTCGAAAACGATGGAAGAAAGATGAAAAACTAATGAAATAACTTCAGGGGTAAGGTTTTGTGTTCTCTGTG